AGCAGTAAGACAGTATTTTACACATCCCTGTGTCTTCTCCCCACCCAACACAGCACCTTGCTCACAGTTGGTGCTCAATACATATTCATTGATTTGGTTAATGGGGTAGATGGATAAACAACAGTTGCAAAATTCTTCCCGCAGGAATCTAATGATACTTGCAGAACTTGCTGGAAGGCTCCTTCGAGAATTGTTTATTTGCTGACTTTGTTGATATTTGTAGCTAAGGCAGCATAGGCCGGAAGGGTAGGTCTGATTTCGCAAATTCATTTGCCTATGAAAACAGTCCATATTATGGAGTTATAAGTATGAGCAACCGGAATGGTGCAATCTATGTTCTCTGCCAAATATAGTGTCTGAAAGAAAAATTACAACTTTCACCCACTTGCTCTTTTGCAATCATGTAGCAATAACTGTCAAAGGGCAGTGGGTTTTCCTCCTTTGTAATAATGCAGGTTTGAGTAACATGTTTTCGGTAACAAATGATTTCACTATGATTGGTTAATTATTATGGGTGGTTTATCAATTGATTTAGTGCTCTTTATAAGTATCAGGAAATGAACATAGAAACAGAGAAACAAATCCATTACAAATTATGGGAACTGACAATGGCTAGTCAAATCAGATGTTTTATGCTTAACAAAGTAATTACTGAGGAGTGGACTCAATTCCAGGTGACACATCCCATGGTGGTTAAGAAGCCCAGGGGAAGAGAGGTCTGTACTCAGAAGGCCACATGGCTCCAGTACCTGCAAAACCTATGCAGCAAACGGAAACCAAAACGCATTCAGGCCACCATAAATGGCTGCTGGGAACAATGTTCCTTAGAGAATTCATAATTTATTCCTAATTTCAAGTGCTCATTCAGCATTTTGAATGGTGACATTCTCAGGAACAAAAGCCACCTTCATCAAGGAATGAGGAAGGCCAGCAAGCCCACTATGAGTCTACAGTGACGAAGAAAATAAAAATTAGTTGTAGTTCTCAGAGACAGTGAGTTGAAGATTACAGGGACTTTCAAGATACAGAAGGTGGTCTCCTGAGAGGTGTGGAGAGACGCTGTTTTATTCCAGTAGGTTGCTTTATTTACATAGGACTGTCAATAGCCCAAAACAAATCAATTTGCCTTATAAATTTCTTGGAACGTCGTAAAATACATGATTTTTAAAAACACCTAAATGTATGGATACTCTCTCTCTCTCTCTCTCTCTCTCTTTCACCTCTCCCACACTTCCAACAGATGAATTTTGGAAAGCCAAAACTCTTGCCATTAAGTTCCTGTTTATTAATCAGCAAATTTAAATAACTCAACAGTTATCAGAATAATCGTGTCATTCAGTAAAATTAATAACAACTACTTTTGTGAAAAATAGGTCAATTTAGAAGTTATATTATATTCTACCTCCTACACGATCACTTTATTTTCCCATCTAATTTTGTGGATGCCAGGATTAACTATTTGCCATTTTAAGAATAGCCATGACTATTGTCAATTTCCCTTCTATCTGTAGTCAAGTTCATTTTAATTAGTAATGCATCAGAAACTCACTGCAGAAAATTTAGAATATGCATAAGGGTATGCAAGTAAATTTACCTGAAATACTATATGAAGATTTTGTTTCATATTCTGGATTTTTTCTCATGCACAGATGTATGTTATTTGAAATCACAGCACTGACTGAATGCCCTGTTCCGGCACAATATACTGAAATTTCATTACCTGCTTTGTACCTTCAATTCTCATGAGAACTTTACATTAATTGTGCAATTTTTTATTGCATTTTATTGCAAAAATGCATTCAGGCCACTATAAATGGGCTTCTGGGAACAATGTTCCTTAGAGAATTCATAATTTATTCCTAATTTTAAGTGCTCATTCAGCATTTTGAATGGTGACATTCTCAGGAACAAAAGCCACCTTCATCAAGGAATGAAGGAGGCCAGCAAGCCCACTACAGGCCTACAGTGACCAAGAAAATATGAATTAGTTGTTAACTAATGTACTAATTAACATCCTACTGTATGTTTTTCTCTGTATCACTAAAACTCTTAGTAAATGTTATTTTTAAAGCTCGCATGTTTTGTGGGATGGACATAGCATTGCAGGTTTATGTAACTCAAACAACTGGATGTTTCCAATTTTTCATTAGTACAAATAATGTAAATATTTTCATTCTGTCTTATACATATTGTTACAATTACAAAATTATAAACAGCTACATCCTTGATACAAATCCTCATATGTGTTTCTGATTATAGAGTTAAAATACATTTCCAAAAGTGAAATGCAGGGAAAAAGGCTGGGAACATTTTATGTAGATGGAATTTTTTTTTAAAGAATTTTCATAGCAAGAGATATTTTACTTAGGCCATATTTGCCTTTCGTTAACTCGCATTTGTGGACATGCCAGTTAAGAATGAAAATTAGTTAACTATAGAGACTTCTTCCCAAACGGGCAAGCAGAATGATGTGGAGCCCTTAGTCAATTGGATATTTGCCTCTAGTCTTGTTTGGCTTTTATTTAAATTCCCTGTGGAAAGTGAAAAAGACTCCAGAGAGTGCTAATCACTGTGGCCTGCTCTGACGTCCAAGGCTGACCGAGGCTGTCTCTTGCCCTGTGGAGTGGGAAGGCGGTGGGCTGGGTCTTCCTCGGTCAGTGGCCGTTTTGGTGGTGCCAATGCTGCAGAAGTTTTCATCAGATTGCTGCAGACAGGAAGCTGTGCACCAGCCGTGCATGGGGTCCGGAAGCCACACTGGGGCTGCTGAGTGCCTGACAATGCCTCAATCTCCCGCCAAGAGGACTATTTTCCCTGATCCATTCCCGACACTGGCAGCATTCAATCAACATCTGAGAGAATCTCTCTGACTCAAGTTCCTTCAATGTAGGAGATCCGGTTTGGGGGCCACATGTGAAACCCCTGGCTTAGTAGGTTGCTAAGAACATCGTCTTCCTTCTCTTTCTTGAAGGTAGGCACTTGAGTGTTTATTATAGGAATGTGTTATAAATTTAACTATATGCTACAATTGAGCCTCTATCTGAGAAACCAAAAAGAAGGAAATTAGACTCCATGAGAAAACTTGGAAAATAGTCTCTATCATTTTATCCCACTTCACGTTTATGAAAAGTACCTAAAATACTGAGTAAACTTGAGGACATATCACTAAATCCTGAATGAAGCATTTGTAACATCAGTGAAGAAAAACTGGTTCAGTGATGTGGAACCCATGAAAGGACACAGGGAGAAGCAGGAGAAAAGTCACCCTGATCTGAAAACGAGGTGGTAGAAAAAAGTCTCAGCAGGATTTGAGGTTTGGTGAACAATGTTTAAGCCACTTCATCAAGGTTTGATTAACGTGGGAAGCTGTACATATTTAATATTTACAACTCTCTGAGTTTGGGGATAACTAACCATCTGTGAAGCCAATTTGGCAAAATATTTGGAATATTTGGAGAAATATTCAAACCATGGTTGTATATCAACACCCAACCCATGTATGAGAAGAAAAATGTAGATTTACTTTTTAACAGGTTGATGGAAATAGGAATTACATATAATAAATGGTACATAACTAGGACAAGCAACTGAATGAACTTTGGCATATGTGCATACCCATAAGCCCCTCTGCACTTAAGGAAATGTGTAACCCAGTCCCCCAAGTTCCTCCCACCCCTTTGTAATCTCTCTTGCTCTGCCTCTGCTCAAGCCCCTCCCCAGCCAACTACTGTTCAGCCTCCTGTCACTACGGATTACTATGCATGTTCTAGAATTATGTATCAATGGAGTAAGGTCATGCACGGTCACTTTTGCCTGGCTCCTTTTTCCTCACATAATTATTTTAAGATCCATTTGAGTTTCAGTGGCAAACAATCATTCATTCCCTGTCATTGCTGAGTAGTATTCCACCAAAGCGATTTCATTTTCAAACAGATACTGTGTCTTTTAAATTTATATTTATTAAGGCTTCAGAAAAGAAAAAAATATATGATTCCTGTAACAGTGTGAACTCTCTTCTCCTTCCACCAAGTCGATGAATTTTTCTGTAACATCGTTGCTCCTTACGATTTGAAGAAGTGCCGCTTACAGCATGTCTTCCTCTTAAAGCTGCAATGCTATGAGGAAGGTAAGACACAAGGGCTAATCCACTGCTGGCCTTTAATGCACTCTACTTCCCACTATGCGCACAGTTTATCCCAGGCTGAGCCTCTCATCTTACCTTGCGAGGCCAACGAGAAAATGTAACACTCTGTGAGTGAGACACTGGCATCATCGCAAGCGCAGGCGTTGGAAGCGAACCGTGTCTCAGCCAGAATGAATAGCAGTGACAGCATGTTCAAATACGGAACAATGTTTATAGCTAGAAAATGGTAAGATAATAAGAGTTGGTGTTTATTAAACCCTATGTGTCTGGTATTATGCTATCTAGGGACACCAGGAGTGCCTTGTGGTAAGAACAAATTCATAAGCAAAAAAGGTCAAGTGATGTACAGGAATCGGCAGTGAGGTACAGAAACAGTGAGTTTGGTTCCAGCTTGCAGCTTGGCATGGACATTTGCCTTCTTTGAACACAGTTTGAACGCTCAGCTGTCTATGAGTGGTTGAAGTATGGCCGCTGGGATTGGTCAACACCCGGCCGTTGTTGCAGGCACGTCTGGGATTGGTCAACACCCGGCCGTTGTTGCAGGCACGTCTGGGATTGATCAACACCCGGCCGTTGTTGCAGGCACGTCTGGGATTGGTCAACACCCAGCCGTTGTTGCATGCGCGTCTTGGATTGGTCAACCGTCAGCCGTTTTTGAAGGCATGTCTGGCATTGGTCAACACTCGGCCATTGTTGCAGGCGCGTCTGGGATTGGTCAACCCTCAGCCGTTGTTGAAGGCGTGTCTGGGATTCGTCAACACTCGGCCATTGTTGCAGGTGCGTACTCCTAAGTTAGGTTTTCAGTCTTGTCTGCCTGTCAAGCTAGGCTATGGGTCATCCACAAGGACTCAAATACAGAGGCAAGTGTCCTTCTCAGGCCATATTAATTTTGCTTTAAGAAGACAAATCCTCATATGGACCAGACTCTGCAATTGGCTGCAGGCACCTCCGAGGCCCAGGTCAAGCTTCCATCAAAAGGGAAAAAGTCTCAGGTCTATTTTATGGCACTGTTTGCTCCAAGGAAATAGTACTCCCAGCTGTACCCACGGCTTTGATTGCTGCTGCCTCTTCCTTGCTAATTATTTAAACTGTTTATCTTAACACCCGAATCATGAATTCACTAGCTCGGATGACAGATCATTTCCACATGTAGAGAGTCGAGTTTAGCCCCAAGTCCTTGCTGTAGTTGTACTTACTTGTTTTTACTTTGTTTTATCTCTCTGGCTAGAGTCTATCTGCCGGGAATTGCCACCCATTGGTCTAGGTTTATGCCTTCGGGTTATATAACATACGTGTGGTCTAAGGTCTTGCTTCATTATTGGGCTATGCATTCTGCGTCTCACTTCCCAGTGCCACAGTTTTGTTTCCCTTCAGTGTATGAGTCACTTCTCCCTTAAATCGCCTGGGGGCGATTTAACATACCTTTGGAATGTGATGTCCCACATGTTTGCTCCAGCAGAGAGGGGTGTCCCTCTCAGTTACTGCCTGGATAAGAAATGCGTGCTTTCCAGGGTCTGCAGTAGGACTCTGGAGATAGGTACTTCCCAGCATCATCTACCCAGTCCTCCCAACTGCCCAGTGAGACACGTACTGTCATGTTTTCCTCAGCTGCAGGGATGCTGAGGCCACATGACTTGTTTAAATGGAACAGTGTTGGGCCTGGCTGTCTGACTCTCCAGCCAATGCTTCAACCTCTCTTGCAGTTCTTCTCTTTCTTGTTACCCTTCTTGTATTTTCTCCATTCTAATGGATTCATTAACCAGCTCTCCACTTTTAGTCTTGTTTTGTTAACAATCGTCTTCTCCCCTCTTTTTCTTTTCTTCCCAGAAACACGAAAAGATGTTCATTTTTTTGTTTTTTAATTGAGATGGAGTTTCGCTCTTGTTACCCAGGCTGCAGTGCAATGGCAGGATCTCGGCTCACCACAACCTCCGCCTCCTGGGTTCAGTCAATTCTCCTGCCTCAGCCTCCTGAGTAGCTGGGATTACAGGTACGTGCCACCATGCCCAGCTAATTTTTTGTACTTTTAGTAGAGACGAGGTTTCACCATGTTGACCAGGATGGTCTCGATCTCTTGACCTCGTGATCCACCCGCCTCGGCCTCCCAAAGTGCTGGGGTTACAGGCGTGAGCCACCGCGCCCGGCAAGATGTTCATTTTTCACAGCTCTACTCTGCAGTCCATAGCGATGACCTACAATATTTCTTTGTTTATTTATTTTAATTTTTTATGACTAAGTCTTGCTCTGTCACCAGGCTGGAGTGCAGTGGCACGATCTCGGCTCACTGCAACCTTTGCCTCCTGGGTTCAAGTGATTCTCCTGCCTCAGCCTCCGGAGTAGTTGGGACTACAGCCATGTGCCACCATGCCCAACTAATTTTTGTATTTTTAGGAGAGACAGGATTTCACCATGTTGGCCAGGTGGTCTCGATCTCTTGACCTCGTGATCAACTCGCCTTGGCTTCCCCAAGTGTTGGGATTATAGGTGTGAACCCCCCTACCAGACCTATAATTTTTAGTGCCAACTGAAGCACTGCCCTGTTTGTCTTGTCCCCAAAGTACAGGAGTTTGCATGGGGGTTGCTTAGGCCAGGGGATGGGGAAGACCTGCAGGGAGTGAAGAGCAGAGTCAGGTGTAATGAGCTTTTGGTAGCAGAAAAAAGGATATTATGTAGCTAATGAGGGGTTCCTTTTCCTGGGACAGGGAACTGGTTTTGCTTTACAGAGGGAAACATTTAACAAAGACTGCATTCTTCTGATTGCATAGGCATACTTTAAAGCTCACATTCAGTTCTTACCACAGCCACCCAAGCAATCTGGAATCCCACACAAACGTGCCTTCTAGACAGGAAGTTTTTATGAACATTTTGGAGAAGACAACAAAAACAAGAACAAAAATGAGAACGGCTGGCTGAGTCTGAATCTCAAAAATCTCAAGCTTCTCATGCATTTTGAGAACTTGTTAAACAATATGAATATTCTCCTTGGTAAGTCAATTAGAAAACTCACTCTTCTGAACAATAATGCTCTGTTTTTCTCAAGTTGGGGAACTGAAATAATGGAGAAAGTCTCTGCTCTTAATTTCTCTAACCAGATGGAATTTAAAAAGCATGTGGTTCGAGTCATCATTGGGAAAACATGACAAGGATTGTGGAACACACATGAATTCCAACTTGCTGGGAACCCGCACATTTTCCTTCATTCTTTGAAGAATTGCTAAAATCAGCCATCAAGAACAGTAAACACCAATACTTTGCCTTGAGAGGAATTGGGGGTTTGAGCTAAAATATCTAAATGACTTGAAATCTGTGATTAAACACAGACTTGGTCTTAAGTTTCCTAATCCTCGCTTTATCATCAACATTCTGCAATAACTTCTTCCTAAACTTCCCTGCCTCAGTTTACTAGTTTAGCTCTCTGTTACAATAATCTCCACAAATAATCATTTTTGCTCAGTTGCTTTTCATTCATTTATGGTTGTTCCAATTTTAGACTTAACTGGAATAAATGAACATATGACTTTAATTTAAACTACATTTCCTTGTGCTTACCAACAAAAGTGAATAATACTATGTATCATGTATGTATACATTTATTTATTCTCAATCACAAGCATCTCACCAATTTGATGAGGGAGGTTAAGTAAAATGAAATAAAGTTATTCTCACCCTTTTACTGTACCTAAACTCAATGGTTCAACGAAAGTAAAATGAAAAAGTGATACTTTAGATAGTATTTTCTTCACTGAAAAGCCAGTTGTAGTAGCATTTAAAATATATAAAAGTAAAGGGAGTTTACAATGTATAAACAATTGATCAAAAGTTTCACAGTATAAATGATTCTTGTTATTAGCTGTAGTTACGTTTTATAAAATCAGCACAAACCCAGAATCAGCAAATACTGAGCCATTTCTCCTAGGGGAAAGCCAGAGTTCACTTCCTTCAAGGTGTTGGTCACAACATTTTCATCAGCTGATCAACAGCAGACTTGTTTTCTGTGTGTTTCTGTTTAAAGAGGCCGTGTTTAATATGTATGGTTATTCATCAACACTGAAAGCCAGTGGTATTATAACCGGCGCCTGAATGAAGGTTCTCCAACAGGTATGTTTTCTGTCTCAGACACATCACAGCCTTCTTGTATTTAGACACATTAGATAACACTTTTGCAGTAGCTTGGGAGCCTTTTTAAATAGCAAGATCACCAACAAAAATCATAAAAGTGGACAGTGTGCACCTAAATGGACCAAAAATGAGAACGCTTGTTTACATAATGAGAGCTGAAACAAGAAGGCAAAATGTCCCCTGGTTCAACCTCAGCTGGTGACTCAAACTTTGACCACTGTGCACATGTCCGTGAATGACCTTGAAATCACCATGACTATTGACTTGGAGGTTACAGATACGTTTTAACCAGTAGGCAAGTTTGCAGATGCAGTCTGTGAATAATAAAGATCGATTGCACTTCTGAAAGGATTATTGAAAGCATTTCTCTCCTGTACTAAAATATTATTTTGCCAATACCAATACTGTCACTTCTGAATATTGTCTTTCTTCCTTATGTAACTTTCTCTTTTTAGAAAAATCCTTCAAAATTTCTGAATGTTTTTTCTTGGCTAATACTCTTTATGCTCACCCTGTAATTCACAAAGGATCACATTTGTTGCTGTCATTAATACATATCTTAGGTGACAGAAAAGAAGCTGTACCAGACGCTGTCTGGATCCTGCCCACCTTCACCCAACCCACCCTGAATAGAACTTGCAGACATGCCTGAAACTTTCTTTGTTTTTTTGGCCTGAAAACATTCTCTTTCAGAAGAATATGCTAGACACCCCAGAACAGATGAGAAGGGGGACCAACTTAATGCATCAAGAGTAATTGAGTACCCCAGTTCATACTCCGCAGTGGGAAAGTTCCTAAGCAGGTTCCATGTAGTCTCCCAGGAGGCCCAGTAGGATTGCACCTTGTTGCCCACAACAGGCACCTGCTCAGTCATGCCTCACTAATGACTAACACCTTTCCTGCCTCAACACCCCACTCTATGCATTGCCTCTCACATGCAATCCTTTTATTCAAATCATTGAATCAAGTTATGCCTTTTTTTAAAAAAAACTTTAAGTTCCAGGATACATGTGCAGAAATGTACATATATCCTTGAACTTAAAGTAAAATAAACGTGCAGATTTGTTACAGAGATATACAGGTGCCATGACCAATCAACCCATCATCTAGATTTTAAGCCCTGTATGCATTAGGTATTTGTCCTAATCTCTCCCTCCCCTTGTCTGGTCCTCTCCCTGTGTCCATGTGTTCTCCTTGTTCAACTCTCACTTACAAGTGAGAACAGGCAGGGGTTGGTTTTCTCTTCCTATGTTAGTTTACTGAGAATGATGGCTTCCAGCTTCATACATGTCCCTGCAAAAGACATGGTCTCATTCTTTCTTCTGGCTAAGATGGATAAAGACTTAAATGTAAAACCCAAAACCATAAAAACCCTAGAAGAAAACCTACAAAATGCCATTTAGTACATAGGCATGGGCAAAGACTTCATGACTAAAACACCAAAAGCAATGGCAACAAAAGCCAAAATTGGCAAATGGGATCTAACTAAACTAAAGAGCTTCTGCACAGCAAAAGAAACTAGCATCAGAGTGAACAGACAACCTACAAAATGAAAGAAAAATTTTGCAATCTACGTATCTGACAAAGGTCTAATATCCAGAATCTACAGGAAAAAAACCAACAGCCTCATCCAAAACAGACAAAGGATATGAACAGACACTTCTCAAGTTCTGCTTTTATGGTAACTCAAACTAAAGTAGAAACTATTTTCTCTGGGAATCCTACTGCAACAACTTGCATTTCTAGAGACTTGTTTGAGCTTCCAGCTTAGAGACATAATAGGGTGGACTGAAAAGGAGTCCTACTGGTTCTGCTATTGCCTAATTCTTGGTTCCTTAGGGATGTTAGAACAAATTACTGCAACTGGGTTGCTTAAAACAATGAATATTTATTCTTTCACAGTTCTGAAGGCCAGAGGTCTGAAATTCAGGTGACAGTAGAGCTGTGCTCTCTCTGAAGGCTCTGAGAGAGATTCTGTTCTTAGCCTCTGGTGTGGCCAGCATGCCTCGGCATTCCTGGGCTTGTGGGTGCATCACTCTAATTCCGTCTCTGACATTACATGGTGCTCTTTCTGTGTGTCAGTGCCCTCGGAGCTCAATGCCTTTTTGCCTCCACTTATAAAGACAACAGTCATTGGATTAGAACCCACCCAATGACCTCATTTTTCCTCAATAACAAATTCAAAGACTATTTTCTAATAATGTTACATATACAGGGAGTTAGGACTGGCACATCTCATTTCGGGGATGGGATTCAACCAAAAATCATGCCTTATGTCCTTGTCTACAAAATGTACATTTTTGACAAAGAAGATGATCTCTGAGGCCCATTTTAGCTCTGTGATTCTATAATTCGGACCTTAAAGATGTGTGTTACTTTCACTGCTGTTTTTATTTTCTTACTCTTATCTTCCCATCATCTCCACGGAATAAATCCAATTATGATTTCACTGAAAGGAAATACACATGGCACTGCATATTGAAACAGAGAAAATAAACATGAATGAAACTGATGTCTCTTAAAATAATTATATTTTCAACCCTAAGCATTTAACTTTCTAATCCACAGCAACATACTCATTTAACATCTATAAAGTATTTTTAAAACCACTGGGTTAAAGTAATAATTACCAATGACATGATTTTCCTGGAGGACAATCATGTTGCTGAAGAGACATTTCTCAGGTACAGTCAAATAAAATGTTAATGTAGGATTTTATCTGTTCAAGGTTTCCTGTGGGTTTGCAAAGTTCAGGGTGCCTTTCACACAGTTTGATTTGTGTTCCCTACAAGGGAACGTGTATGGATGGGGCTGATGCTATTTCATTTTATTTATTTTTATTTCTTATTTTTGAGACAGAGTTTCACTCTTGTTGCCCAGGCTGGAGTGCAATGGCATGACCCCAGCTCACTGCAACCTCCGACTCCCGGGTTCAAGCGATTCTCCTACCTCAGCTTCCCAAGCAGCTGGGATTACAGGCATGTGTCACCACGCCTGGCTAATTTTGTATTTTTAGTAGAGACTGGATTTCTCCATGTTGGTCAGGGTGGTCTGGAACTCCTGACCTCAGGTGATTCACCTGCCTCAGCATCCCAAAGTATTGGGATTACAGGCGTGTGCCACTGCGCCCACCTTATTTTTCTGCAAGCTATAATGTGTTCTGTATGATTACAATACTGTGGACTGGAAGTGAAAACAAAGGGTATAAATAATATCACTTACTCTGAGGATCAAGGTTTTAGAAAGACTGCTCTTATTCAAGGGTGTCTTCTTTCTGATTGCTTATTTTATTAGTGTTTTATTGATAAAAATTATTCTGTGTATGCTCCAGCAGCCAATGGAAATAAAGCAAATGACCCTGAGAAAGAGGTAAACAAGTTGTTTACAGCACAGGGCAGCAGGGCTCTGGGTGTGTCTGCTGAGGCAAGAGGGACCTGGCTTCCAAGTCACTGAGGGCAACGGGGCTGGACCGCTGAGCCCTGGCCCCGGCAAACCTCTGGGCTTCACTCGCAGGAAGTCACATACATGTGGTGTCATTTTCAGCTGCTAAGAGAGACAGATGCACCCAGATCAATATCACTGTCTAGTATCAAAGACTTATTGTTATCTCACTGGGCATTTTCTGGTGGGGTGAGAGCACGACTCTTTTCTTCCATCAGTACATGCAGGAGCCTCCAGGGTCCTTCCTCTTTTCCTGATCAAAGGCATGAGATGAAGGTCTAGCAGGTGATTGGGGTTTTACATTTGGAAACTTCCTTCAGGTAAAATTTGTGTTATATTATGGCTATTTGGATCTGATTCTATTGCTGGTGATTATTGGTTTCGGTGTGGAGAGGCTGTTAATGAGCTAATGACAGCAATAACTCTCCTGACCTTTTCTGCCTTTAAAGGTAGTGGAATGGTTGCTCTGTGTTAAGTACTGTTAAAGAGGCCTATCAGCATCCTACCTGTAGCATTTGTGTGCAATTTCAAAATGTATGCTACGTTTTTTTCTCAGAGTGGACAGTTAAATATTAGTGCTCTCAGTGCTGGGAATAAGGAAATTCTCCCGGTCGCAGTCCAGTTGAGAGGTAAGGTGAGGTACTCTAAAGGTAAAATTTTAGGAAACTTAAGGGAACATATTTTTCCCCTTACCACATTAACAAGATAATCTGCCTTATTTTCCGCTGCACTCTGTGAGTGATCATACAGTTCGACGCCTTTCACAGGAGACTTTTCCTGGTGTTCAGCTCTTTCGCGGGGCACACCCAGCAACTGGACTTATGGTATCTTTAAACACGTCCAACAGGAGTGTAAGAGCCTTTCATGATACCTTGGATTTCGTTTCCTACAGGCATTTCAGCAGGTGGTTGAAAAAGGTCTTACTGCTACATGCTTGGAATGTGAAAAAGTAGCTAAATAAATAAATAAACCCAAACATTCGAAAAGCTAGAGATTAGGTTAGGCATGCTGGCTCACACGTATAATCCCAGAACTTTGGGAGGCCGAGGCGGGTGGATCACGAGGTTGAGATCGAGACCATCCTGGTCAATATGGTGAAACCCCATCTCTACTAAAAATGCAAAGAATTAGCTGGGCATGGTGGCGCGTGCCTGTAATCCCAGCTACTCGGGAGGCTGAGGCAGGAGAAATGCCTGAACCCAGGAGGCAGAGGTCGCAGTGAGCCGAGATTGCGCCATTGCACGCCATTACTTCGCCTGGGTAACAAGAGCGAAACTCCGTCTCAAAAAAAAAAAAAAAAAGACTAGCCTGGACAACATAGTAAGACCCTGTCTCTACTAAAAATAATAATAATAAAACTACCTGAGCATGGTAGTGTGTGTCTATAGTCCCAGCTAATTGGTAGGGAGGCTAAGGCGGGAAGATCACTTGAGCCAGGGAGGTTGAGGCTGCAACGAGTCGTGATGCACATTAACACCCCAGCCCAGGTGGCAGAATGAGACCCTGTCTCAAAATCAATCAATCAGAGCTGGCGATTAAATGAGGTTGCTGGGGTTATCCGAGGGGAAAACAGTGGAGAGTGTTTGCTCAGTCCCGAGTTCACCCTTCTGCCCACATGGAAAACCGACAAATTAGCGTCATGACTCAAGTAAATGCAGATAGAGAGCAGCTCGCTCCTGGAGTAGCCGGCTTTGCGAATAAAAAAAAGACACCTTTTTCTCCGTATGCAATTGAAAATGTCTCAGTCACTATATTCAGTTCCTTAATCTTTATCTTTTCATTACCCACACTGTTGGCTTGTTTTGGTGAGAACAAACTCAGAAGGGTGAAAATATGCAGAAACACTCTGAGAATCACCCTCTGTGTGCCGTGATTATGGCTGTTAAAGCCTTTCTCCTGGTACCGTCGCTGAGCACAGAGGGCTCCTTAGCATAATGTTTCCATTTTCTTAAGAGAAGACCCTGTGGTAAGAGAAAACAGGCCAACAACTTACTTAATAAGTGATAAAAATACATTCTTAAAGATTTAGTTTGAATAATTCAAGTTTTCGAACCTAAACTATAAATAGGGCACCTGCTTATAATATTACTAAAATCTAAAGCTCCACTGGACAGATATGCACAGGACATAAATTTGGGTACCCATTAAAATATTTTAATTTCCCCAAATCTGGAGTTTAATCATTTACACATTGTGGTATCACGCCATCTGCCCAGTGATTTCTTCTTCAGAGAGTCTTTTAAATGTTAATTAATTAGATAATGTGTTCGTGCTGTACCTTTAAGTCCAATTCACAATTGGATCTGGCATGCGATGCCAAAGGAATCTGTCGCAAGATGCTGCTGAAAGGCACAGAGCACCGCGGAAGAAGCCTTCCCACGTGGTCCCATTCCCTGCAGCAAATCAGTAGAGGCGCGCATATCCACAAACGCGAGAGGCTAAAAGAGGCTCTAAGCTCTGGAGAGACTTGACGAAAGGAGAAAAACGTTTTTCATCTCTCATCATTAGCCTTTGTAAATATAGAAGGTGTTGTATTTTGCTTGGAAAATCATGCTGTTAAATTGGTTCATTCACTTATTCTTAAAACAAACATAAATTGAATTGAACCAGGGCCAAGGATGTTGCTGGCAGCTGAAGAGGTTGCGGTAAGACAGACCTGGCCCCTGCCTTCCAGGAGCGCAGAATTCAGTGAGAAAGACAGAAAGCGGAGTCCTGTAAATAGAGCAGGGGTTTATTTTAGCGTAGTTTATGTAACTGGGCGTAGAAGAGATGGCCACCGTGGTGTGCAGCCCATATCCCCTCTATGGCGCAGGTGCTCATTTACCCCGCTCCTCACAGCACTGGCATTGCAGCATCATTGCAGGGTACCTCTCTGGGGCCTGCCTGAGCTGAAGGGAGCTGCCACAGGCAAGACCTTAGCCCTCCTCACGGTAGCCCCATCCAGTGACTGGTGGATGCAGGCACATAAAAACCCAGCCCTTGCCTTAATTCCAACAACTATTGAGGAGCATCCCAGCTCCATACTCCCGGTGAAATCAGTGGAAGCTTCTGACTTAACGACATTGCAGTTCAACTTCTTCTGCGCAGTCCTGCTTCCTGATTCCCAGTAGGTGCTGTTGCAGCTTCAGGCCCCAGTATCCCTTCTGTATGCGGATACATGTCTCACGGTCTGCCTCCTGCGGAAGCTGACCTATAAGACCTACCACCAAGGCAGCTGGCAAAAGCAGCCGGTGGGCTAGCCGTGAGAACCACCGCTCATGCTACACAGAGGACAGGCAGCTTCTGCTGTGCCGTAGTATTGCAACTGTTAAAACATCCAGGTGACCTGGGCTGAGAGTGGTGGAAGAAAGGGAACCTGCAGGAACAGGCATTGTCTGGGTGCTGCAGAGGCCCTAGGACCTCTGCAGTCCAATGCCGCTCTCCGAGGGCTGCTGAGGTCTTAGAGCGATAGTTCCCATCAGAGGTGCATTGTGCTTCTCAGGGGATATGCGGCAATGTCTAGGGACATTTTGGTTAGAACTGAGGGGAGAGTTGCTGCTGGCATCTGGTGGGTAGAGGCCAGGGACGCTGCTGAAAACCCTATGGTGCACAGGACAGCCCCCCAAACAAAGAATGTTCAGGCTCCGATACCAATAGTGCCATGATTGAGAAACCTTGCATTCGAGAGAGAGAAAATGGAAGCTGAGAATATTTAATTTCAGGTAAATCAGGACCTCCCTGAGGGACTGGATGTGTCTTCACCCCGCCCCCACACACAATTTACATGTTGAAGCCCTGCTCAAAATGATGGTATTGGGAGGTGGGCCGTTTGGGATCTGACTAGGTTTACATGAGGTCATGAAGATGGAGACTGTGATGGGCAGTATCCTGATGAGGAAGAGGAGGAGATACCAGAGCACTCTCTCTTTCTTTTTTTTTTCCATAGCACATTTGTTATTATACTTTAAGTTCTGGGGTACATATGCAGAACAAGCAGGTTTGTTACATAGCTATACACAGGCCATAGTGGTTTGCTGCATCCATCCCCCCATCATGCACGTGAAGTATTTCTTCTAATGCTATCCCTCCCCTAGCCCCTCACCCCCCTGCTATCTGTCTTTTTCAACATTGTGAGGACACAGCAGGAAGTGGCTGCCCCCCACCCCCAACCAAGAAGAGGGCCATCACCAGGAACGAACTGGCTTCGACCTTGATCCCGGACTTCATATGTTGTGGAAACCACTCAGCTGATGGCAAGTTATGACTGGCCTAAGCTGACTAAGATGCCCTCCTTGGCAAAACCTTGAGATTATTCTCTTCTTCGACTGGAGGACAGAAGCTGAGGAGGCAGTACTTTCTTGTCATTGTCGTGGGGCCCCAGAGAAGACTGAGTTCTTAACCTCAGCAAATCTGCCATGTCAAGCTCAGGTCTCTGAACACCGGGGCAGGATACTGGGGCCAATGAACTTGGAAATCTTGACTCCCTGAACCCCCCAACTCTCTGAACCTGCAGGAGTGGCCTGTGTGTACTGCTAAGGGCTAACACTTGCATTGCTTGGAGACCTTGCAAGGCAAGAATCCATCCTCCAGGTCATAACAGGCCCCAACTAGGAAAGGACAGTGTCTGCAAAGGGAAGAAGAGAGTTTCCACTGAGAGAGGGACAGGACCAGCCAACCTTTGCAGCAGGAGCCTGGAAGCTGTAGGTGGGGTTGGATTCTTAGGGCGTTAAAACATGATGGGGTCGAACCCTCGGTAAAAGAGGGGAGTCCACTG